TGGCCATACTATATGATGTATTGCTTGTCTTTGTTTAATAATACAGAAGACAAAGACCTTAAAAAATAATCGCATATCGCATCGCAATCGCAATATTGGGGCAAAAAATCGCAATTAGATTATTTTCCATAATCGTTCAGCCCTAATTTTAAGCAAACACTAAAAACTTCAATGGAACAACAATGAAGTGTTATCAATAGATGCTCAGGTGCAAAGAGCTTGTTATGATTGCCTGCCGAGTGGGTGCAAGCTAATTGCTCGATGTCGAGCTGTAGAGAGGATAGTGGAGTGTCAAATGCTCTTCAGGTGCAAATTTTCGCTCTGTTGCTATGTGCCATGGATATTACTGTGTGTCTGCTGAGGGCAATGTGCGAGGGTGGACTATAAATTCCTCAGAACTATGAAAGAAAGTTGCTCTGAAAACAATATATACACATTTGTACATAGTCACGAATGGGTAGTAGGGAACATAATAGCCTGTATTATTTGAAAATTAAGGTTAAATTTGACTTAATTAAGTGACTTCAATCCAGTAATCAATCAAGCAGTGCTGTTTTTGTCCCTTATGTTTTCTAACTGAATATATGGCTATTTAAGGAGTTGAACCTTTTGTGTATGATGGCCTTAATCATTTGGTTCAACATCATTTCCTCTCTTAGATGGATACAGCCATTTTTTCCCAGTCTGGAGTGGAAGAGTGGGCTCGTGTAGAACTCAGCTCATACTTTATGGGATAAATTGGGGCACCAATGCAAGCCAGGTTTTATCGCCCAAAATCAACACTGAGCCTCACAAATGCTGTTGGAGCTGAATGGGAGCAAATCCTCGAAAGCAGGCTCCAAGAATCTTGTGGGAAGCATTCCCATAAGTGTAGGCGCTGCTATATCAGCAGATTAATTCTCATGGTTTTGGAATGAAATCATATTAGGGTAGCACTTTCGGGTGTCTACTTGGGGATAAACCTATCCTACATCCTTGAGGGAGCACCAATATTCTTTGGATGTCTCCCAATCCCAATATCTCTTTGAACTTTACCTGTGCCATGTGACTATGGGGTCCGGAGATCCAGAAGTGATGCAAGTAAAGGTGACAGATTCCTGGTAGTCAGCTGTGGCATTGAAGGACTGCTGGAACACTGACAACACCGGAGGGACTGCAGACACACACAAAAAAAAGAAAAAAAGGAAATAACACATGGCGCTATTAGATCCTGAGAGTTAATCAAATCAATCCGGACTGAAAGCTAAAATTGGACTATAATCTAGCAAAACGTTCAGTATTCATAATGCTACATGGTGCAGGATTTTCACAAGAAGCAAATAAAAGACTTTCATGAGGATTGAATTGGCCTTGCGAGTGGCCTGTATGCAAGCGCTGGAAAAACGCTACTTCTGCTGGTAATCCCGTGGGGATTTCAAATAACATTTTGACCCAGCTTTGGTAAAAAACCCCCACAAAGGAACCGAATACACTGACGTGAGGCCATTATTCTATTGTGTGCCTCAGAAATGCTCCGTTAAATCTATATAAACAATGGCAAGACAGAAAATGTGTTTCAACATGAAAAAAAAACAGCTGTGAAAACTAACGCTTTCCTTTTGTGAATAAACTATTCCTGTCAAGCGCTCGAGCTCTGACAATTGTTCCTCTTGTCAGGCCAATTTCTGCAGAATCAAAAGCAGAAGTGCTTTGCTGCCCTGATTTTATAGGTCTGTGGTTTGATGGACATGCAAATGCAAACTCTTTTTTTAGGGCTACAAATGACTCGTATTTATTTACGCAGTGCTTCTTTCACTTTTCTTGCAATCAAAGTGAAATACGACAAGGACGCCCTTTGACAAATCTTTAAAATGTCTTCACAAATCATATTTACATATTTTTTGTTCATCTCCTATGGTTTATGTATTTTTTAAAGCACCTGGATCTTGATTTCTAATAAGAGTTTTCAGATGTACTTTTTGGGCCACCTGACACCACTAAATTCAAGAGAAAGGAGAAACTGGGACTCATATATATACAAAACAGATGGATAAATAGAACCAGAGGCCTGAAGATTGATGCATTTGACTTTGGAGTGAACATTTATTTGCTTCAGTGCCCATACAACAGAAAAGCTTGGACATCAGAATCAAGAATGAACAGATGTGTCCAACATGATTTCATTTTACCGATAACAATGTTTCAAACAGTCACGATGGTACCGTACCTCATTTCACTGTATATAACCCTCATCTGCATGATGTAAGAGACTGCATCAGTCTCTTACATCATTGTGAAGGAATTTTGGTCCAATCCTCTTTAGAGCATTTATTCATACAAAATGTATTATTCATTTAGATTTGTAGGTGGTCTTTTATTTACTTCTTTAGGTCCCACCACAGCATTTCACTTAGGTTAAAGTCTGGACTTTCAGTTTCAACCATTTTATTGTAGATTTGCTGCTCTGCTTAGCATCATTGCACTGCTGTGTGACCTAATTTGAGCCAAGATTTAGATTCACATTTGACTCTAGAATACGTTGGTATACAGAGGAGTTCATGCCCAGGGTGCCCAGGTGCTGTGGCTACTAAATAAGCATTAATCATCCACCACTGTGCTTGACAGCAGCTATGACGTGTTTGGTTTTCACCTAAGTGGCCAAACATCTCCACTTTGGTTCCGTCTGTCCAAAGGACATTGCTCCAGAAGTCTTGTGGTTTGTTTAGATAAAGCAAACCTGACCCATGCTTCATGTTCTTTGTAGCATTCCAGGCAAACCACACTTATTCAGCCTTTTTCTAATGCTACTGTTATGAACTTTAACATCACAACAACGTGTTAACTGGGAGCTGTAGTCTGAGTTGTAGCTCTTGTGTGGGGAGGAATTGTAATTGTCTTTGTCACTGCAGAACGATGGACTTTAAATGCACTCATAATTCTTCCCTGACTGATAGGCAGCAATAATTCCTTCTCTAAGGTCAATACTGATGTCTTTCCTCCTCAGCACTGTGTTAGCACACACCTGTAAGCTACACGTGTGCACCCTCTGCAAACGTTCTGCTTTTATAGAGGTGCTCACACGTGCTGATGATCAATTAATTAACTGCTACCTATCCTCATAATTTCAATGGAAGCAGTAAAGGTGTACTTCGTTTTTCACTGTAGCTTGCCATCGCCAGTGTATGAATGTGTGTGTGAATGACTGAATGTAGTGTGAAGCGCTTTGGGGTCCTTAGGGACTAGAAAAGCGCTATACAAATGCAGGCCATTTACCATTTTACCACTTCACAGGACTTCAAAGATTCTATTACTCTCAGTCATATATTTTTGCACAAACCATACCAAACTACTAGAAGTTCCCTTTAAATTCCTCTTTGTTTTTGCATGTTTTGCCACTGCATGTACTCTCCTTTGCTAAAATATGCGGTTATATCGGTCTAACTAACTGACATGCATCAGTCAGTGTCCACGTAAATGCGGCACGCTTTGCTAATCTTCCACAAGCAGCTGCATTGGCATGCTGGTAAACAGCAGAGGCCTTGATGACTTTATCAAGAGTATATGGTGAGCGCTGTCGGGAACATGTAGTGTGCCCCTGTCATGCAATCACCTGAGGGCTGTCATCTTGTCATTCAGTGAAAGGAGAGCGGAGGAAGAGCAGGCTTTTCTTCGTCACAAGGGAATGACAGCTTCATGGTGCAAGCATGTTTATCAGGCATCTCAATCCGTTTCACAAGCCTGTATTTACGCTGTACTTTGACTACCACTGTAACTGCTCCGCTGTGGTCCTGACCAGTCACAGGAAGTGATTAATCATGTCTGGAGCAGCTTATTGGAGCTTTGGAACATTTACTCCTCTATTTTGCTTCTGCTGGGCAGTTGACGACTATAGGTGAAAATCAATTAAGTGCACTACCTGAAATCCACTGAGTTAGAATAAGTGAACCAGTGAGTTGCAGTACTGTTGTTGATGTCTGTGGCTTAAGCTTTGAATTCAGGTCCATGAACCACCTAAAGTATCTTTGTGGCCTTTTGTTGTATTGTTTGTATAGTATTTATGGGTTTGTGTTTTCTACTTCTTTTTATTTTTATTTCATTTTGACTTTATGTTTTGAATTTTAGTTTAGTTTCCAAATTACATTTTCTTATTTCAATTCAGTGTTTTTCAGAGTTATTGTATGGAGGGCATATGTCAGAGGCAGGACTGAGAAAAAACAGTAGGTAAAATCAGAGGTAACACAAAAAATAAACACAGAAACATCCACAGCCTTTTGAAAGCTGTTGACTCACAGGTTTGTTTCCATTCAGAGTCTCAATAAACATGTTTATCAATGTGTCATCAGTCAAGGTGTCATAAACTATACCACCTCTATCTTTTTATTTTAGTTTAATTCATTTTCCAACTCACAAAATTATTTCAGTTAATTTGCTTTTTTTTTTTTTAGTCTAGCTCTTTTTTAATTTTTGGTTTAGTTTTAGGCAACTATAATGTAAATTCTTTCCTATCTATTATCAAATTATAAAGATACTTCATGCACCATGCATGAAGAAATGCATTGTGGGTAAGCAAAAGCACAGGCTGGAAGGATACTGGATCAATCCCATCACATCTGAAGGAGAAGATCAATGCTATCTCCACTTCTCTGTCTTCTCTTGATGAAAAGTCTGCTTTGCATTCTGAAAGGTCACCAAACTCCTCCTCCTTCTCTTTTTTCTCCCTTCTTTTCTAAACGAGGACCATCTAAAAGGTACGGGAGGAAAATAGTAAAAACGACTGAAGTCCAGACAACACGATGAGGACGTGCTATATTTATCAATTAGCCCACCAACTGCACCTACTGCATTTGCATAATTTCATCCGATTACAGCGTGAGCACAGTCGAGGTAAAGGAAATACTCGGTGTAATCATGTCCATCATGTGTTAACATCCAGATAACATCCAGCACACCTGGATACAGGCTGATGTGTAGGTTTAAATCAAGGTTTTAGCTTTATAGAAGCTAAATTTCGCTTCTTCCACAACGAGCTACCAAAATGAGGCATGTGCTGTGTTTACAAGATCTGGTCAGCTTGTAATTAGAAGGCATTAAATTAAAACAAACAAAATGCCCCAAATGCAGCAAATTAAAAACTGAAAATTTGTTCTGTGTGATCAAACATGCACTCATTCCAATTCTCTAATTCTACCGCCATCTCGATATTTGAGCAAGTTAATTTATTCTCTAAGAAGAGGATCAACAAAACATTAGACCAACGCTACCCACACAGAGGTGTTGGAGCACATGAATGATGAAATTGCTGAAAAATGGGGACGCTTGCTATTAGGATCCAAACAAAAACCTGCTTCACAGGTACTGCAACTGGCAGCTGCGAAAGAGATTTTTTTCCCTTTGATCACGTCGAAAGGGTTGAAAAAGCTTGAAAGGTCTCACAAAAAAACAAGCTAAACGTGTTTTTAATATTCAAAAAATGTAAACAGCTCCTCAGTTGGGGTTTTGGAAGTTATTGAGAGATAATGAAAGGAATTTGTTCTCCAAGTGATGACATCCAGAGGACACTTATTCCACCTAGATCTAACCCCCCCCCCAACAACTCAAAGATGAAATTAAATATTAAAAATAGCTTCAGGACTCATTAAACTGCTGCTTTTTGATGGAGAACAGCGGTAAAGCAGGTAGACTTGCCTTTTTTAAAAAAAAATACTGTGGATAGGGAATTCTAATCAAAACAAGGCATCAGTGCAGAAATGAAGCAATGCTTCTGTTCTGTAGTCTTTTTTTAAAGATCAGTTACACTAACAGCACCAGTGTGTATTACTATGAAGAAAAATACATCGGTACATCTACAGTTCCATAGTGTCTGATCTATGTGCTATCTCATGTTGTCTATGTACTGTTTCTCCTAAAAACAAAGAAAAAAATCAATGAAAATCTCCTTTTTTTGTCTGTAAAATCAACACAATCTGGAGTGCACGCACACACACATTTTAGGTGCAGAGAGCTTTTCAGGGATAAAAATGGCCTAAGCAATAATCAAACACTATGAGTCCTTTCCAATAGTTCTGACTCTGCGAGTGAGATGAGCAAGCATCTGGCTGACATGATAACCATTGATTTCCAAGCCAATAGATCTCTATTCTCCAGTGTGTGCCCTCCTCCCCTCTCTTTTCCTAT